AGCTCCGAAATATTTTACTTTTAAACGTGAGCCCCCTTGTTAACTGTGATCTGACTAAAACATAAAACTATCAGTTTTGATGATTTTAGTTGTTATCAACACTTTTGCCAACTATTTTAGATAAGATTTTGTTACATTTAGCTTTTAGCTAGTTAATGCAATTATATATTTTAGCTGTTTTGCTTTTGTAGCTTTCGATGCACATGTTATACTCACCTTCATACAGCTTCTCTAGTTGTGTTTTACTACTCTAAAATGCAAACATCTACAAAACCAACTTTAATGAATTTATTTTTTGTTGTTTGTTCTTGTTGGAGAAAAATATTCTTGCTTTATCTTACCCAAAAGGAGCCACACTCGACAGCAGGAGAAGATTACTTACCAGTATTTTACTTGCAACAACAGATTTTCATTACAGGTTGTACACAGGAAGTACACACACCTGAAGACCAGTGATGACCCGCGCAGCGTGTGCAGCTTGTTTTTATAACCTTGTCAGTCCAGCCGATCTCAGACGGAGGCGTCCTTGGAGCGACAGCTGCACGCTGCAGCCTCACCCAGCTCTCTAATAACCCAAACATATGGTTCATGGGCAGAGTTAACATTCTCAGCCATAATAATAAAAACATACATAAACTTTGACCAAAAATTCCCTAACAGGTCTGTCTGCTCCCTTTCTTCAGGGCTTACCACAGCTACCAATGCTGGAAGCCCTGCCCAACCCAACCTGGGTTCAAACCTGCAACCTCAGCATTAAAACGAGCAAAAAGTTGTAATGAAAAAACTTCAACCAAGCTGTAATTAATATATACTATATGCATTTTTATGGCGTTTGGGGCATACAGGAAATGAATGACTAGCCTGTGTACTTAGATGTTAAAACTTACCTGGAAATGTACCCATGTGTGTATTTGAGCCTGTAAAATATGGGATTTATGTAAAATGTGTAGGAACAGTGCAGGTGGCAACAAAATAAGGCTGTCAAAAGAAGAGGTGGAAATAAATGTTCCAGCATCGTTTGTCACAGGAGAAGCCTAAATGATGCTGAAAAGCCTTTTCTTGATGGAAGACAGTTCAGTGTTGTTTATCACAAGTATTTTATTGCAGGAGAAAATGAATGTGTGGTTTGAGAGCAAAAAGTGTCCATACTGTTTCCTTACTGTAACATGAGACCAACAGAATGGATGCCATGTACTGCAATGAACATTTTTTATTTCACAGCAATAGAAACCATTAATAAAATACAGTTAGTTGGTTCTAATTTCAGTTGTCACAAGAAAACCCCACAGGTGACAGGTGTAAAGTTACCATCCACTCACTCGTAAGCTGCACATGTAGAAACTTCTCACGAGGTGCATTTCCTGCCAGTTTCTCTGTTGAACAGTCAAGTCGGTGTACAGTGCAAACTCATTACATCCAGCCTCACAGATAAACTTATTCTAGTACGATCAACCTGTCTTGAAAAGGCAAGTTTGTTTTGACTTGTGAAAAAGAAACCCATGCATTATTTTGAAGGGAATGCATGTGTAAGATGATGTCATGCTCGTTACAGTCCAAACCATCCAGTACTGGCACCAAGTGGACTGACATCACTTTTGAAAGGTAATATGAACAGTTGAAGACCTTTTCAAGAACACAAGTTCATGATATACAAACATCGGGGTTTATCCTGAACTATTACACAATAAAGTTGGTTGGATTTTCCAATATGCAGTTTTACTACATTAAAGAGGAGTTAAAATGGGTTCATATAAATATATGTGCCAGGACTCAACCAAGTTTTAAAGGAACAGTTCAGATTAAAGTGGGGTTCTGTGGAAAGATTATGAACAATTATACGTTCTAGATTACTCTTACAACCTTAAAAATAGTTTAATGTTGATATGAGCTGCAAGCTAACTGCTAGTTCAAGTGGGGGCCAAGACCAAAGCAGATAAAACCTTCACAAACTCTGAAGTAATTCAAATTAAATTAAAGCTCTCAACAACCTAGCTCCATCTTCTATTACAGATCTTATTGTTCCATATTTTCCTAACAGAGCACTTCACTCTCAGACTGCAGGTTTACTTGTGGTTCCTAGAGTTTCCAGCAGCAGAATGAGAGGAAGCTCTTTCAGCTCTCAGGCTCCTCTCTTGAACCAACTTCCAGTTTCTGTCCGTGAGGCTGACACATTGTCCAGTTTGAAGACTGGGATTAAGACTTTCCTTTCTGATAAATCCTATAGTTAGGGTTGACTTGGGTTTTCTGAGCTGTCCCTTAGTTCTGCTGCTATAGGCTTAGACTGCTGGAGGACAAACTGACCACATGTCCTCTCTCTGCTGCTGTCTTCACTTGCTCTACTCTTCCTGTTTGTGTTTGTCATTATTTCTATCTCAACATGTTTTTGTTTTTCCTCTGGGCAGCACGGTGGTGCAACTGGTAGAGCTGCTGCCTCTCAGCAAGCAGGTCCCTGGTTCAAATCCCGGTCTGGGGGCCTTTCTGGGTGGAGTTTGCATGTTCTCTCCGTGCATGTGTGGGTTTTCTCCGGGTGCTCTGGTTTCCTCCCACAGACCAAAAACATGCATGTTAGGCTGACTGGTAACTCTAAATAGTCCCTAGGTGAGAGTGTGAATGGTTGTTTGACTCGTTTGTCTCGACATGTCCCTGTGATGGACTGGAGACCGGTCCAGGTGTCTCTGTGATGGACTTGTGACCGGTCCAGGGTGTACCCCGCCCCTTGCACAGTGATTGCTGGACATGGACACCGGTGACCCCCGTGACCCAAAATGGAAGAAGCGGGAAAAAGATAATGGATGGATGGATGTTTTTCCTCTTATAGAAAGCACACCTGGACTATAGAAAGTACACCTGGACTATAGAAAGCACACCTG